TGGTCGTGGTATGGGCGCGACACTGAGGGTTGCGATCCCGTTACCAGTCACGAAAAAAGACAAAAAGGAGAAAATGCATTTTTATTTTAAAGTTTTTAAAATTTAACTCTTATATACTTATAATAGAAATTTGGAAAATATGTTGAAGTATAGGATAAAAAGTGAAAATAACATAATTTCACTATACAGACACAACTGCTTTTAACATTTCCATGTATTACTTTTTCTCTTTCCTCTCCCCCTCTCTCCCTTTTTCCCGCTCTATCTGCCTCTCCACAACATACAGCCCACACTGTGGATTGGATGTTCATCCTCAACGTCTTTCATGTCCCTAATGAGCACCAGTACTGCATTAACACCTTCATCCCTGGTAGTGACTGTAAAAGTTGTCAGTCATATTAGGGAATGTCTGGTTCAATAGTTACTTGGTAAAATCAAAACTTGAAATCTAAATTCTCCCAGAGACTTAACTCTTCGTGACTGCAAGAGACTTTGGGACACACATTAACTCCTGTAGGTCATTATGTCTTTGCGGTGAAAGATACGTGCATGACTGATCTCTTTTTAACAAATTTGGAGGTCAGCGTGTCCTCTCTATATAAATCCTGCACTTTGGTCTTCAGATTTCTCAGTGCTGATAAAAACAAAAGCAGGACTAATGAGATTAAAAACATTGTAGATATAATTTATAATTTACCTGTTATAAAGACTGCAAAACTGATTAACCAGTTACAGATATTTCCAGGTGGTTAATGTAGGTTAATGCAGCCTGCAAATTGGTAGCGAAGGTTTTAGATAATCAGCACACTGATACACACCTTCAACATTTTTGCCCTCTGTGCACCATCCTGTGCCTCTCTCTGGTCTGGAGTCTAGTAGTCTTATTTACAGGCCATGATTTAACGTCAGACCCCAATGTCTCCAGGGAGGTTAGCTTACCCGGTCAGTCAAGACTGGAGATAGCAGGAGTGTACTGAGCACACGCCTAAGGCCAAGCAGATTAGACGCCTTCCCCTGTTGTGGAAGGTGCTGAAAACGTTCCAAGCCTAAGCAAGTTGGACATCTAGAACCTTGAGTTCACTTAAGTCCCTGTTCATGGGGCCTGTGATGAGGCAATAATTACTCTTTGCCTCAGTTTCCACAGCTGAAATGTGAATAAAAGTAGCACATGGCTCACCTTTTTGTCTTATGGGGGTCTTTTAAATCATTGTACAAAACCAAGCAGCCAAATAAACAGAGAATAAGAAATTTGAAAGCTTGTCCTCATTTCTAGAACGTTACTTAGCTCAGGGCCTTGGAAAGGCTGTCCTCACTTTCTCGTCATTTGTTCTCTTTCATTGTGGTATGAATTTAACTATTTTATATTTCAGGCCAAAAGTGTGATCCAAGCTGTCCCAATGGAAGCTGCTGGGGCACAGGAGAGGAAAACTGCCAGAAACGTAAGTCGGTGGACAGAGGCCCAGACAAGCATGTGACCACCCTTCCCTGCCCTACTGAGCTGGCTGGATTTGTTTTCCCTTTGAAGACTCCAGAACACTTTCTTGGTTACAGGGCCAGATGTTAGCCGTTGCGTGAATCTTGCACATCTCACTGTGTGCAATTAGTGCAGGGTGGGCTATTTTTGACACTTCAGCCTGTCACAGATAAGTGAAAGTCGCTGCCCAGATGCCAGTCATTTCTTTGAACAGTACGTTCAGCACGTTTTCCTGGGCGTGGAAGACTTGTCTGTGTTTATATGAGTCACCAGCCTCTCATTTCCTCCCCCGCCGCCTTTCTTTGCTGCCCACCTGCACAGAAATACGAGCAACGTTTCTCACGGGGGGTTTCTGTGTGAACCCTACTTCAGGATAGAACAGTTAATTTACCTGGGCATGGTTGTCTGGCTCAGACTCCCAGTGGCCAGGGAATCTGGGGACATGTCAGCTTAAAGCCTGACTGTCTGTCCTTAAGTTTAATTGTGGCATGGCTGTCACGTCCTTTCAAACAACACTTCCTGGCAGGCCTTGTGGTGTTCATACGTGCTTTCTGTCGTGCCCCGATCTCAGTTCTAACTAGTGTCTAATTATTTAAGAGATCTGTAAGTCTAGCCTTGATCTGGTTAGCTCTCTCAAGGGATTAAATATAAGTAGCAAAATAAGGCACCATGAGGAAAGGCCGTGATTTGATTTGGTTTGGTGGACCGTGAACATTGAGAAGCTTCGGCAAGCCACAGAATCGCTGGATCCGCCCTTGTTCTGGCAAGTGCTCCCTCACCGTCGGCTCACGGTGATCTTTGCTCTTTTCCAGTGACCAAAGTCATCTGTGCCCAGCAGTGCTCGGGGCGCTGCCGTGGCAAGTCCCCCAGCGACTGCTGCCACAACCAGTGCGCAGCTGGCTGCACGGGGCCGCGGGAGAGCGACTGCCTGGTGAGACGCCTTCCTCCATCCCACCTGCCCACCCTGCCCGACCAGCCCCCGGTAGCATTTGTAGTAGCAGACGTGGGTGTTGTCCGCTGCCTGTGGACAGAATATCTTTTATTATCCTGCCTCCAACACTTACTGTGTGACCTTGGACAAATTATGTGCCTGCCCTCCCTGTGCCTCGGTTTCCTCATCTGACAGTGGTAGATATTAAAGTCCCCACCTGTCAAGTGTGACATGATGTGCCATGCATCCAGAGGACCTGGGCACAGAATAAGCACTAAACACTAATCACATGCTGCTCTTTGTCATGAATGTTTACTGCCACCAGCAGCAGCGGCAGCATCACGCTGTTTATTGTGTCACCTGATTCTATCACAGACCTAGAGAGTGGATGCTGTACAGTCCCCTTAAGAGACCCACCCAGAGCCATGCAGATCTGGCTGGGACTACATCTGGGTCTCCCAAACCTAGTTCCTCCCTGTGCCTTGTCCCTATTCTTGTCACTGTGGCTACAGAAAGCTCTAACAAAAGCCTTATTGCCCCAGTGGACTGTGGGCACCACATGGAGGTTTCAGATCAGAGGCACCTTGGGAGACTCCAGGGCTGGTAGATGTGATTCCCAGAGTCAGTGCTGAGTGCCGGGAGGCCCACCCTCAAATACAACCCAGAACACTCTATGTTTCAGAGAAGGAAAGAGTCTTAAATTCTAGAGGCTAGACCCAGCCCCAGGGGTCTTGACTCAGTTGGTCTGGGCTGATTCCAGTGCACAGCTCAGAGGAAAAGACTGTGTGGGGGACTCTTAGGAAGAGCCACTGCTGCATCTGATCTGGCCTTTGGTACATGGCACCCTGCCTAGTCAAGGTTTTCTGCAATTTGGCAATACATGCCAAAATGTATCTTCAAGTTTCTTTATTAGAGAAATCCAATATAAATTGAATTGATAGTTTCACACTAAAGTTACCACTGTACTGTGTGAACTTCATCATTTATAAATTAATAAAGAGGTTTTTTTTTTCTGGTCATAATCCATAAATTATGATAGCCGGGACAGGATATTTAAGAAAATATGTACTTCTAAGAGAAAGATCTTTCTGATGCTCCTGAGTACTTTGCTAGATTTTTCCACTCCAGTTAGACACCTGGGCACTAAGAGCTAACCTGAGCTTTCTGAACAAAATCAGAGCAACACTGCATCCTTCGTGACACATGTGTTCCCATATTGCAGTCTAGAAAGCCACCCCACTCTTGAACTCGATTCCTCTTCTGTGTGCAGCCTTTCATTCTTTGTTCTTAAAGTAAATAAAACAGAAGGTTGTGGGCCCGCACATCCTTCATGGGGCACGGAGTGCCCTGCCTCGCTTAACCAGACCTGTCATCCCTCCTGTGACAGGTCTGCCGCAAGTTCCGAGATGAAGCTACGTGCAAGGACACCTGCCCTCCACTCATGCTCTACAACCCCACCACGTACCAGATGGATGTCAACCCCGAGGGGAAGTACAGCTTTGGCGCCACCTGTGTAAAGAAGTGCCCCCGTGAGTGCATCGCATGGGAAGCCTTTGGTTTATCAGGCGTCCTTGTCCTGGGGGGATCCCTGAGTCCCCCCCCGTCTCAGGCAGTCTGTGGGTCAGTGTGTTTGCCTGGCTGTCAGGCAGAGGTGAGGGACCGGCACTGCTGAGGAGCAGAGGGCAGTAGCCGCTGCTCAGGTGATGGGGCTGCTGTGGTCACAGGGCATCATCAGTTGCATGACAGGAAAGACACCTGCTGCCCAGCCCTGAAACTGCAGTAGTCCAGAGTACTCGGTTGTCTCATTGGCACAAAACTATGGTCTGTTGGACCTGACTTCACTCTTCAGCTCTTGTACCAAGCAGTTATTTAACAGACCTAAGTTAGGGGATATAGCAAGATACCTGCCTTCTTGAGAGCCGTGCCTATCAGGAGCACTGCAGAGCTGCTGGGCTTGCTTGGTCATTATATTTTCATTGTTTGCGTTTGGGTTTTGCTTGTTTGTATTTGCATTCTGGAGGCTGTAGGGTTTAAGTGACAAAAATTATCTCCTAACAGAGAAAACAAAATATTGTCCAACTGAAGACCTTTGGAAACCAATCGTGATTTCTAAGAGGGGAGATCTTAAAAGTATAAAAGAACAATTATGAGGGGGAGATTTTGCCCTGCCAGATTTGTGTGTGTAAAAAATTTTAAATTCTGGGGCCGGCCCGGTGGCGCACTGCTACAGTGCGCCGCGGCGCTCCCGCCGAGGGTTCAGATCCCACATACAGACCGGCCGCTCACTGGCTGAGCGAGGTACGGGCGCAACACCGAGGGTTGCGATCCCGTTGCCGGTCTCGGTCCGGTACGGGCGCGACACTGAGGGTTGCGATCCATTGCTGGTCACGAAAAAAGACAAAAAAGGGAAAAAAAAAATTTTTTTAATTCTGTACAAGAAAAAAAAATCACACACACAAATAAAATAATAAGCCATTTAGATTAAATGGCAAACTAAGATAAAGAAAATTTTGCCACAGTTATGACACGGATATTATCTTTGAGAGAGGGCTTTAAATAGATAGAGCTTTAACATCCATTGGAAAACACTTAGAGCCTCAGATAACAAAAGCAGACAATTCACAGGAGAAAAATTACCGATGTCCAGTAAATATTTTTGAGGATCTACTTGGGGAACTCAAAACAGGATCACATAGAGCTCCTACAAAATAGCATAGGAGTTAATATTAACACGAATAAATTGCTATGAGCGTGAGGGGAGGCGGAGGAAAGGACTGAGGTACCTGGCTGGGTGGAGAGCCTGTGGGTCCTGCCACCCTGCAAGGGGAGCCTGGCCACGTGGGAGGGGACCCACAGGGCAGAGCCGGTGGCAGTGGCAGGAATGAAATGCAGCCTCAGCTGTGACTGCTGTGGCGAGGAGTGTCTTTGTTAGGTTCATTATTTTTAATAAATATTCAAGCTTTAACTCTAAGTCCTGAAGATAGATGCTACAGAAGAACGAGCTGCTCGGAGACGCTGGTGCTGGTGAGCACGCTGATGTCGTCGCCCTGACACGCGCATTTCCTGCCCGGGCTACACATGTGTGTTCCCGTATCGCAGTCTAGAAAGCTAGCCTGCTCTTGAGCTCGATTCCTCTCCTGTGTGCAGCCTTTCGTTCTTTGTCCCTACAGCGAATAAATCCAAAGGTTATTGGCCCGTTTTATCAGCCCCTTTAGAGAAAGACACAAGCACGTTTGGGGGGAGCAGGAACACCCAGTGCCTCTGGCCACCTTCCTTTCTGTGTCTCGCACAGGCAACTACGTGGTGACAGATCACGGCTCGTGTGTGCGCGCCTGCGGGTCCGACAGCTACGAGGTGGAGGAAGACGGAGTCCGCAAGTGCAAGAAGTGCGAAGGGCCATGTCGCAAAGGTAGGAGCCCGCAGGGGTGTGGAAGGGGCTTTTGCCAGGATCTTGAAGCTGGGCCCGTGTGCCCACCTCCAAAGGAAGACATCTCACTCTTCTTTAAAAAAGAAAAAAAAAACAGAGTACATTGATTTGCAGGGGAGAAGGTGGTGCTGCCCACGGGATGAGGGCATGAGCGGGCGTTGCACGTATGGTCAGGGCTCAGATCAGAGCCTCGCAGGGCCCCCGTGGCAGCAGGTGTGTGCGCTGCCCTGGGCAGAAGCGACAGGGTTAGCATCGTTGGGAGCAGTCAGATCACAGCCCGGACCGAGCAGGGAGTAACGGGGAGGAGATGCAAGGCTGGTGTCTCCGCTCACATGTGTCCCCAGAGCCGGCCTCGGGGCCTGGCGATTGCTGTCCCTCCATCAGTGCTTGCTGCATGAGTGACGGCAGGTGGAGACAGTTGTCACACAGGCATCCCTACCTCCTCCTGCCCACAGAACCCCAGCTCCTCTTAATTCAACAAGTGCGAATGGAATAAACATCTCTCGTATCTTAACAGTTTGTAATGGAATAGGAATTGGTGAATTTAAAGACACACTTTCCATAAATGCTACGAATATTAAACACTTCAAAAACTGCACATCGATCAGTGGAGATCTTCATATCCTGCCCGTAGCATTTAGAGGGTAAGTAATGGTTTAAGTGACTTGTATACAGAAGAACAAAATCTGCTTTTTTAACTGGCAGAAATTGATAATCAATAATTCCGTTATTCATTTCAGTGACTCCTTCACACGTACTCCTCCTCTAGATCCAAAGGAACTGGATATTCTAAAAACCGTAAAGGAAATAACAGGTTTGTGCTGGCATATTATATGCATGTAAATGGGGAGTCAATGTTTTATAGAGAAAATGTTCAGAAATATTTCCTTCTCCTCTGTCATGAAAACACCTCTTCTGAAATTCTACCATTGAAGACTTAGTGCTTTGACACTTTTCAAAAATGCACTTCCTGTGCGTGCAAAGAGCAAGCACTTTTAGCCAAGGCGCAGGTCACTTGCAACTTGAAAGGAGCATGTTTTATCCCTCACTCTCACCAGCACAGCCTTCTTGGTGGCCCAGTGACTGGAATGCGCAGAGGGAGAGAAGGGGAGCGGGTAAGGGGACCGTGTGGGCTCACGGGGTCTCTAGTGGGCCTTGGGTCCATCACTGCCTTCTGGGCTCCATTCTCTTCATCTCTAAAAAGGGAGTAACTAGACCTAAATAACAAGGTTGTTTCTAGGGTTGGAATTAATTCAGGTAAATGTGTAAAAAGTCCTTGTTTGTAACAACAGCTCAGTTACTGGCAGCTGTAATCAGAGCACGAGCCTGCTTGGGGTGATCAAATACAGAGCCAGCCGGGGCATCGGGGCCGCAGCAGGATGGGGAGACTGTTGCGGGGAGTCGGGCAGTGGGAGGGTCGCAGCCAGACATGCAGAATTCCCCGGGAGAGGCCTGGGCTTACGTCTGCACGTGCGTGTACATGCCCAGTGAAGATGATCAGAAGAATCAAATCGAATCAAATTTTCCATTTACTTCTCGCATCATACTCTTGTGAGAATCCTAGAATAATGACATATCCCATATCCTAAGTGGTGTGAGCCTGCACCTTCCTTCTGCCTCACAGGGTTTTTGCTGATTCAGGCTTGGCCTGAAAACAGGACTGACCTCCACGCCTTCGAGAACCTAGAAACCATCCGCGGCAGAACAAAGCAACAGTAAGTGGACCACAGCCAAAGCCCGGGAGATTATTTTTCTCTTTTTATTTTGAAATTAGACTTACAGGAGAGTTGTGAAGGTGATCTGAAGAGTTCCCAAATACCCTTCACTCAGTGTCCCCGACGTTAACGTCTCACATGAGCAGGTACGAGGATCAAGACGGAAAAGTGACTACTGGTGCGACGCTGCTCATGAGACTGCAGACTCCACTCAGAGGTCACCAGCGTGCCTGCGCCTGCGTTCACCGCTGCAGAGTCCACCCGGGAGCCCACACCGCGGTCAGCTGTCACGTCTCTGCAGCCCCTCCCACCTGTGCTAATCTCTCATGGCCTTGACGCGCCTGAAAGTGCAGTCGGGTGTTTTGTAGGATGCCTCTCAGTGTGTGTCTGGCTCATGTTTTCTCCTGATGCAATTGAGGTGATGCACATCACATCAGATGGGCCTGAGAGACTTGGTAACGCTAATGTTTTTCTCAGGATTTCCATGTTTCCATCTCCAACAGTGAGATAAACACACACACACACACACACACACACACATCTTTAATATAGAAAGAGTGATCATTAGTTTTGTGTGAGGAGGAGTTTGGGAATCTGTTGGTCAAACCTGCCTTGGAAACAGTCTGGTTATGAGAACTGTTTGCCATAATTATCCCCTAAAAGGACTTGTGGTATTGTGCAGTACCAAGGAAAATCAGACTCCATGGAGCACACCTTGTCCTCTGTAAGGTGTCTTGACTGTGAATCTCTGATACTAAACACACAGCTACTGTTACTTCTCTGAAGTGCCCCTTTGCTCTGAATTCTCAGGAATGCTTTCTTTGCTCACAGTTCATACAGAGACAAGGGATTTAGGGTGGTTTTCTTGGATGACTGGTACATACCACTCAGCATAGTTTCAGGGATTTAGACAAGGGTTACTTATCTTTCTGTTCACATTTGGTGAGAAGTCCAGTGACAGCAGGGTCTGCTAGACAGGATGACTGCTGGTTCTAGGTGTGGCTCAGCAAAGCCTCAGGCTGCCCTGCAGGGAAGACCCCAGACTCGCCCCTGCTGTCTGGCCTGCCCTGGGCATGTGTCAGGGGGAAATTCTGAACAGTAGTGGTTGCAGGTTTCCTACACAGGGTCCTTCGCTTCTCTGGAACCAGGTTGGGGCAGAGGGGAGGAAGGGAGAGAGGATGGGAGAAGAGCAACAGGGAGAGACGGAGCCTGCAGATTACGCCTTAGACCTTTGCCATCCAGCACCTTGATTACCAATCTCTTTATTCAGTTCTGTCCCCACTGGCCCATTCCCCATCCTAGTGTCAAATGAGCTTCCCACAAATGCAGATCTCTTTCGTATGGATTCCATCAGTTACAGACAACAACCCAAGCTCCTCCACAAGGTGCACACAGTCTTCTGTGCCATGGCCACCCCCAGACCCACTGCCCACCCCCCCGCACGTGGACAGTGCAGCAGGAGCTCCTGGTCCTCAGCACCCGTCCCGTGCCACCTGCTCCTCCAGGTCGTTGGGGACTCTTCTTCCTTACATCTGAATACCTTCCATCCAGCCACCTAATGAACTCATTCATAGTGATCACCTGATAGAGTCCTAGTGCAGTGCTGGGTGTCAAGCAGGGAGAACCGGAAGCCACCCTGTTGTGGGCCTGCTGCCCCATACCTGTGCTCCACTGCCACGGTGCCATTGTCACTGTAGGTGTTGTGTCGGGTTAGAAACATCTGCTCATATGGCTGTGTCACCTCCAGACAAAGCTTCCTTGAGAATAGGAAACACATTTAACCTATATAGAATGTGGCACATCAAACCTCAAATGTTTGGTCAATAATACACAAATAGACAGGGTGGATGGATGGATGGAGAGATGAACCTATGACCTCTGAAATGTGGATGTTTGAGAGGTTAGAACATGTTGTCAATTTCCAGCCCCCCCCCCCAAAAAAAAATGTACTAAATAAGGTAATGACATGAAGACCCACAGTCTGCCACTGAGGTTAAAGATACTAAATGAACAAGGAACCAGCTTTTCTCTGGAGGAGCCTAAAAACGCGTGCAGTTTTCTAAAGTTGCAACATGCACCTTCCACCATGTGACTCTCAGTCATCAGAAGGCGGCCAGTAGTAAATCTAAGGTGGTCCAGAAAAACAGAGTTTTTAGTGATGCATGGTTTTTATAATTTTTCACAATGTTATTTTTCTTCTCTCTTTAGTGGGCAGTTTTCTCTTGCTGTTGTCGGGCTGGACATCACGTCCTTAGGCCTGCGCTCCCTGAAGGAGATCAGCGATGGAGACGTGATCATCTCAGGGAACCAAAACCTGTGCTATGCAGAGACCATAAACTGGAAAAGACTGTTTGGGACTTCTGGTCAGAAAACCAAAATTATAAACAACAGAGGTGAAAACACCTGCAGTGAGTAGTCGCCTTCCGTGTTCATCATGAGATGGTTCCAGTGGGGCATTTATTTTTATTTAGGATATTGAAGGACCATTCCCAAGCATTTAAATGACTTTCTTCACTCCTTAAAAAGCAACTTATAGGGCCGGCCCGGTGGCGCACTGGATAGTGCGCCGCTTGGGAAGCGCGGCGGCGCT